TTCTCAGCTCCCAAGGGACATTCTATTCATATCTTTAAAATTCAAACCCAAACCAAACACACTGCCATCCAGTCAGCTCTAAATCATAGCCACCCCTCCTTGGGTTTCGGAGCAGGTATCACTACAAGGGAGCTCTAGTGGCATAGTGCCTAAGGCATCTGACTGCTAACCAGAAGGCTGGTGGTTCAAACCCACCAGCCACTCCTTGGAAAGAAGATTGGACAATCTACTTCTGTAGTGATAGTGCCTTAGAAACCAAAGGAAAGGTTGCTATGAGTTGGATCTGACTCGATGGCAGTGAGTTTGGTTGTTGTTGTTTTTTCTTTTTTAGTGGAAACTGAATCTCAACCTATCCAAATGTAATATTTTTATGTTAAATTATTATGGTGAAAAGAACATACACAACAATTATGCCCAAAGAATCACACTAACATTATAAACACAGTGTGTTTAATCCTTTCGGTAACATTTCTTTGGATATGTAGTTATCCAATAGAAATAAACCTTTGCAGTTTATATCTGTTCTGTTTTGGCATACTTTTATTATTTGATGAGTTAATAAATGAGTCACATTCTTTCATCAGGTAAATTTTGTTGCTCTCTATATATTTATTTATGCCAGTACTAACTTTACTGGCTACAGTATTTCTTGTTGTGTCAGAGGAACTAACAATTTCTCAAGAGTGGCTTGTTCATTAGCAAGTCTTCCTTTTTCTCTCCCTCTTCTTGATAAAATTAGGTTTCACAAGATTCTTGTAGTGTGTAAGTTATTTAGCTCTGCAAGGTTGATTTCCTTCACTAATAAATATTTAACACTGTTTTAGATGGCTTAATTTAAAAAAAAAAAAAAATTTTATTGTGATTTGGGTGAATGTTTATAGACCTAATTCACTTTCCATACAGCAGCTCACATATGCTTTGTCTTATGACATTGACTGAAATTTCCCACAATGCAACAGCTCCCCTCCCACTTCCTCCTCATAGTTACCTCTTCCCTGTGTCTTTCCAACCCATGTACTCCTGCCCCCCCACCCCGAGCTGTCTCCCTGTGCATACACATCCCTTCTATTCTCCTATGATTGATCTCTTCAAGGAGTGTATCTACCTAATGTAAATGTTCAGCTCATATGCCTGTCTTTTTTGTTTGGCTGGAAGCCACAGGACTTGAAGGGCACCTAGGGGCCATAGTCTTAGTGGGTTCCATCAGGCTCTATCAGACCAGCAAACCTGGTCCCTTTTTTTAAATTTTTATTTTTTTTATTTTGAGTTTTGTTTCACATTATTTTCCCAGTCTGTCCAGGATCTCCTACATAGATCCCCCTCCAAGTGGTTGATGGGTAGCCTGGCACCATCTATTTCTTCTGGTCTCATAGTCATATAGGCTGAGGATCGCATGGTGTACAAGACCCTTGGAATAATTGTTTCCATGAATCTTTGGTTTTCTTCATTCTTCACTCTGGACGAGGAGTGATCCATCATTGCATCTAGATGGCTGCTTGCAAGCTTTTAAGATCCCAGTCGCTACTCACCAAGGCAGGATCTGGAACAATGTTTTTGTGTAGTATATTATGCCAATTGAGTTTGAGATCCCCTGAGACTATGGTCCCGGGCCCACAGGTCCAACTACTCACCTCCTCTGGGTAGCTGGCTGTGGCTAAGAAGTGACTACAACCTTGTCCCTTGTCAGCTCTACTGTAACATACCAATACACTTGTAGAAGCACTATCTGCCAACCTTATATATGGTCCAAAGGCACACTCTCCCCTGCATAGACATACCTAATAGTTCAGCCTGTCCACCTATCTATCTACCCATATACCAATGTTTGCCTTCACTGACAATGCAGTACTGTATGTGCAAAAGGGTTCATCTTTATTGTATGTACCTTCCATGCACCTCTCTATGACTTCTTCTTCCTCAGTGCCACCGTGTTGACCACTCACATTTGGTACATTGCCCTTCTCTTCACCCAAATCAATACTTGTCTCTAGCTATCTAACAGCATTCCCTCCCTTCTCCTCCCACCCCTGGGAAGCAACAAAGAAAATTTCCTTCCATATATAAACCTTTCCTTGACTTTTTACAATAACAGACTAATACAATATTTGTCCTTCTGTGATTGACTTATTTCACTCAGCATAATGTCCTCCAAGTTCATCCATGTTATGCAATGTTTTGCTGATTCTATGTTATTCTATAATATTCTATATTATTCCTTAGGGCTGCATAGTACTCCGTTGGGTGTATGTACCATAGTTTGGTTATCCATTCTTTCACTGATGGGCACCTAGTTTTCTTCCATCTTTTTGACACCTTAATTTTTTTTTAAATTGTGATTTGGGTGAAAATTTACAGAGTAAATACACTTTCCATACAGCAGATCACATACACTTTGTCTCATGACATTGACCATAATTTAGCACAATGCAATAGCTCCCCTCCCATTTCCTTCCAATAGTTACCTCTTTCTGTGTCCATCCCTCCATGCACTCCTACCCCCTGAGCTGTCTCCCTGTGCCTGAGTAGCCCTTCTTTCTCTCTTGCTTGTTCTCTCCAAGGAGTGTATCTACCTCAGGTAAATGCTCAAATAGAATGCTTGTCTATTGTTTGGCTGGAAGCCACAGGTGTGCGTTCTATTCCAGACCTGAAGGGCAGCTAGGCAGCTAGGGGCCATAGTCTCAGTGGTTCCACCAGGCTTGATTGGGCCAGAAAACCTGTTCCCCGCTTTTTTTTTTTTTTCCCAAATTATTTTGAGTTTTGTTCCACATTGTTCCCCCTGTCTATCCAGGATCTCCTACAAAGATCCTTTTCCAAGCGGTTGACTGTAGTAGCTGATCACCACCTATTTCTTCTGGTCTCATAGTCATATAGGCTGCAGATCGGATGGTGTACCAGTCGCTAGGACTAATTGTTTCCATGAATTTTTGTTTTCTTCATTCTTCCTGGCTCTGGACGAGGAGAGACCCATCGTTGCATCTAGATGGCAGCTTGCAAGCTTTTAAGATGTCAGTCGCTACTCGCCACAGTAGAAGATGGAACAATGCTTTGTGTAGTATGTTATGCCAACTTAGCTTGATGTCCTCTGTGACTATGGTCCTGAGCCCACAGGTTCAACTACTCGGTCCCTCTGGATAGCTGGCTGTGGCCAAGCAGTGACTACAACCTTGCCCCTTGTCAGCCCCATTATACACCTTGGAATTCAGATCATACACATAAGGTTATGGGGCTCTGTCTGCCAACCCTATGCATGTTCTTGGGTGCACTCTTCACTTCATATATATATCTAATATTTCAAGACAACTTAATTTTTACTAAACATTTTAATCCTTGGCTTATTCAGCAAAAAACAATTAAATTCATATTGTTCTGATTTTTTTAAACTGCTGTCCTTACTTTTTTTTTTTTTTTTTTTTTGGCAGGGTTACATAATTCATTCCCATTCCAGAGAAAAGCAGAACTGTCTATACACATCTACTACCAAAATAATTGAACCTTTAACCTTTCATTGAGTAATAAGAAACAGCTGTTTCTTTCTGTGGATTATAATTATGATGCACACCTGACAACTGGTAGGGTTGTCAGGATATCCAATTAAATAGGATTTTCAGATAAACCTTTGTAATATAAACACGTCCCAAATGTTGCACAGATAATAATTCCTTTATAAACGAAAACAAAAAACCAAACTCACTACTGTGAGTGGCATCCAACTCATAGCGACCGCTCCTCGGTTTCCGAGGTGGTATCACTATGGAACTAGATTGCCCAGTCTTCCTTCCCAGGAGTGGCTGGTGGGTTTGAACCAGTTAGCTGCCAAATACCTTAGGCAATACCACCAGAGCTTCTAATGCTGTTATGGTATAAAATTATTTATTATTCAGCTGAAATTCAAATTTAATTGGGCATCCTGTGTTTTTACCTGCTAAATCTGGCAACCCTAGTCAACACTTTATCTACTTAAGAAACTACTAATAATCTGCCTGTAAAATTTAGCATCTAGGAAGATTTTAATCACATGATCACTCCACTTAGGGGTGGAGGTGTGGTTCTGGTTTCAAGGTTTTGATAAGGTAACATCAACAGTAACCCCCAAAAATAAACCAACTGCCATGTTCTAGATTGCAATTCATAGCGACCCTATAGGACGTTGTATATTACCCCATAGGGTTTCCAAGGATGTGTGCCTTTAAGGTAGCCAACATCTTTCTCCTGGGAGCTTCTGGTAGGTCTGAAACTACCACTTTCTGATTAGCAACCAAATGCTTTAACCAGTGCACCACTAGAGCTCTCTACACAAAAATAGTGACTCTGCAGAATTTTAAATTCATAGACCTGTATGAAGTTAATATAAGCCATAGTCTGTCAGATTCTGGATTTCCTAGAAGAAAAGGAGCCCTGTTGACGCCATGGTTAAGCGCTCCGCTGCTAGCCAAAAGGCTGGCGTTTCAAACCTACAAAGCGACTCCTTGCTACGGTAAAGATTATAGCCTAAAAAACCTTATGGGCACTTGTATTCTGTCACATGGGGTCGCTATAAGTCTGAATCTACTGGATGGCACACAAGAAGGGAAAAACACGGTTCCATAGAAAAGAGCGGAAAGGTCTTGCCAAAAAACATGGGAACTTATGGCGCAACGATTTCATCGCGTTTTAATGAGGAAAGCCACGAGATCTGAGCAAGCCAATAAGAGACAAACGCACACGGCTGGGCTCCAGGAAATGATGAAGCCAATCAGAACCTAGAAGGAGGAGGCTAAACACGAGTGAGGAGGTGGGGGTGCTCAGAGTGGGGCGGGTCGCAGCCAATCCGAGTCGAGGAGGGAGGAGCTGGCCTCCGGGAAGGGGGCGGGACGCAGTCCATATAAGCCGAGCAGGGCGTGGCTGAGCTCCTAGAAGGGGCGGTCTGGGGAGTGGAGAGTGCTGCGGGCGTGCTTCTTCGCTTCACCTGCAACTGCGCCTTTCTCCCAGCAGGGTGAAAGTTGTCTTGGAGGGTACCGCTCGCTCCGCTAGTCATGGCCTACCCGGGATACGGAGGAGGGGTGAGTCCTGGGCGCCTCGCCGCGGCCTCCGCCCCAGCGGAGTGTAACGCCCCTGCAGGCGGTGCCAACGTGCGGAGCCCGCCCTCTGTCGCTGCTTTCTTGGTCCGCCTCTGGCACCCGGCGGACCGGGGACTCCCGGCTGTTCCGGGACAGCGTTTGGGCTAGGTCCGGTAGGGGTGAATCGAATCTGAAGGTGTTCAGGTTCTGACAACCTCTTAGTAACATCCTTGTGGAGCTGAGGGTGTGATCTTTCTTGGAAATTTCTGGACTGAAGGAATAATGCACCCCCCCCCTTTTTTTTTCTCCATTAATCTTTTGTAGCCCATCCACACCTTACTGTTTTTGCTGGATGTCTGTTCTCTTTCTGCATTTTTGACCACTTCTTGTTTTTCTGTTCTTTAAGTTGCTTATGAGTATGCTCAAAATATTTCGTAATGTTTTTCCTATTACACCAAGACCAATTTGTTTTTCTGGACTTTTTTGTTGTTGTTGTTGTTGTTGCTGTTACAGTTACTTACATAACTGATTATTTTGTATCACCTTTTGAGAGTTGTGAGGTGTCGTAATTGTTGAATCCTGGTGGCTAGCTCCTCCTTTTAAAAGAAGGAAACCAAACTTTCAGGTTTTGCATGAATCTCCGAAGTGCAGTGAGCATATTTTGTGTTTATAAAGTGGAGTGCTGGTAGTGTAGTGCCTAAGGCATCTGACTGCTAACCAGAAGGCTGGCGGTTCAAACCCAGCAGCCACTCCTCGGAAGGAAGGTTGGGCAATCTACTTCCGTAGTGATACTGCCTCGGAAACCCAAGGAGAGGTCACTGAGTCAGTCGGACTCCACCACGGCACATAACAACAACAACAAAGTGGAGTGCGGATCCATTGCAGTAGGGGTAGAAAATAATCTATTTTCTATTTTTACCTAATAAAAGATACCGAGCTTCACCGATGTTTAATACAGATTTGATACTGGCATAAGACAGTGGTCTTCACACCAGATTACTTCTACCCCTAGAAATATATGTCTGTGAGATTTTTTTTTTTTTTAAGGGAATGAATTTTCAGTACATTAGTTTAATATACTCATTCCTATAATTGCACATAACAACAATAATGTTGTGATGCATGTCCCAAAGTAGCACCCGTTTGTTATTATAAACCACTGTATGTCTCTGTATGCACATTGTATGTACCTTGAAATTCTAGTGTAATAGGTTTTATAGGGTTGGTTCAGAGCTGTGGGTTGTATATAAGTCTGATGTTGCTAACCCAGAGACTGCCTGTACTCTCAAACACCTAGCGGCACTGATTCTTTTAAATGTAATGGGACTATTGTAAGATATATTGGATGAAATTTATATAACTTCTTTGTTGTTATTGTGTGTCGTGGAGTCGGACCCGACTCATAGCGACCCCTCCTTGGGTTTCTGAGACAGTATCACTACGGAAGTAGATTGCCCCATCTGTCTTCCGAAGTGGGTTTGAACTGCCAGCCTTATGGTTAGCAGTCAAGTGCCTTAGCCACTGTGCTACCAGAGCTCCCATAACTTCTTTACTTAGAGCATATTCAATTAGATTGTTAAGGCTGGATTATAAATTATATCAATTATAGTCAATTCAGGAGCTCTGGTAGCATAGTGGCTAAACGCACTTGACTGCTAACCAGAAGGCTGGCGGTTCAAACTCACCAGCCACTCCTCGGAAGGAAGGTTGGGCAATTCTACTTCCGTAGTGATACTGCCTCGGAAACCCAAGGAGGGGTCGCTATGAGTCGGGGCTGACTCGACGGCACATAACAACAACAACATAGTCAATTCACGTCTTATTTATGTTTTAAGAATTATTTAAAAATATATTATATTAGCTATTAGATCGTTTTGCTTGGGTGGATAATTAACAGTGGAGTCCGCATCATGGCCACCTCGTGTTTGTCAGGCTGGGACTGTACTCCAGGGGTTTTGCTGGCTGATTTTCAGAAGTAGATGGCTGGGCCTGTCTGTGGAGGTGCCTCTGGGTGGACTGGAGCTTCCAACCTTTTGCCATTTCACCAACCAAGGACTCCCAGACTACATGTAGGTTCCTACCTTAGGTCTTTTCCCCCATCCTTGAAATTCTTTTTTCTTTTTGTTTCCCGACAATTTCTGATCATCCTTTAAGGATGAAAAACCTTCGGGAAGATTTTTGTTCAAAATGGTATAATCAACAGGCTGGATCTTCTTCCCACTCCACCTTTATGAAATGCTGAGTAAAATGCCTTTCTAAGGTATTAAAATGGATAGCAAGTTCCAAAGTGAATAAGGGGAATATTTTCATGCTGGGAAAAAAGAGAGAAACTATAGTTACAGCAGGAAATGAATAGTGTGTAGCCTCTGAGGTCAGACTATCTACATATGAATACATGGTTCCCTCTTTACTAGCTATTTGACTTTGATCTATTAATGAAAACTTTTGAAATTTCAGGCCCTCAACTGTGAAAAAGGGCAAAATACTTTTCTATCCACAGAATTGTTTAAGAAATCAAATAACATAATAGCCGGAAAGTGCTTAGAAGAATACTAGGATATAAAAAACTTTCAATAAATATTAGCTACTTGTTTTTGTTGTTGCTATTCTTATTATTAGTTTGGAAGAGGACTATTGCTGAAATCATCACTTAATTGATTGTTTCATTGCCCTCTTGCTTTTTTAAAAATCTTTTCTTGGAGAGAGGACATGTCAGCTTTATGCAGTTTCCCATGACTACGTGTAGTTGCATTGTGTTTATCAGACGTTCTTCTAAGTATGTGCTTGAGGTGTATTTCTTAGTTTCACTACAGATGGAATTTTCTTCTATTAAAAAAAATTTTTTTTCGTTTATTTTGATGATTATGAAAAAATACTTTTAAAATTATGGTTTTTGTTTTGCTAAGTTTTTTTGAGGGTAAAACTTTTGTTTTTTCCTTTGTACTTCTTTAAAAATTAAAATTGACTGCTAGATAAAATATGTGTATTAATTGAGTCATGTCTTAATGTAGGGTATCTAGCACTTTGTGGCTGAAAAAGCTTTTGTGAAAGATAAATTTGGAAGCTTCTGATAACTCTTTAAATTCTTACTTTTCAGTGGATTTCTCATAAATATTTTGCCTTTTAAACCAAATTTAGTAAATATTAGTATTCATGATCTCCTTTTTGACTCTCATAGTTTGGAAATTTTGTTGGTCAGATGCCAGGAATGCAGATGCAAATGGGACAGCCTGTGCCAGGAGCAGGTCCGCACGTGCTCCCTGGTGCATACCCTGGATACCAGGCCTATTCAGACAGTTATTCCTCAGCTAGCGACCCCATGTGGACTTACTTCACTGCTGTTGCTGGGCAGGTGAGATATTAAATTCATTGTAGAAATACAGTTTTAAGAAATGACTGCTGTTTAAAATAAATGCTAATTTAGTGTATCAGTTTAAATCTGAAATTTAACTAGACTAATTTTTTGTGATCAGAGAGGAGGGCAGTCATAATTATTTCATTTAAAATAGTCTATTGGTGTGAAATATGAGTGCACTGTTCACTTGACTAAAAGAGGAAGCAATATTTTCATAGTGTGGAAATTGGCTTCTTTACTTAATATGCTTCCTTTCCTGAAATTCGTCTGTGGGAAGGTCCTCCACCAAAACCTATGAATTATAAAACTGTGTTGTTATCTTCCTTTGAATTATCTTTTTTTTTTCCCCTATCACTCACATCTTTTTTATTTCCTTCACTGTGTTTGACATTTAGACACATCTTACTCTCAGAGGATGATTGACAGTATAAAGATAAATATATTTAGCCTGAACATCCTTGTATAGAAGGTGAAGAGGGTAGGGGGAATTTGAAGGAAGATAAGAGTTTTTAGAAGTTAGTATTCTAAGGAACAAGACTTTAACCTTGAGCATTAATTCCATTAGGAAAAAAAGAAAAAAGAAAAAAACTCAGTTCAAACCTAAATTTGTTAAAAAGTATAATTGGAGAACACTTCAAAATTCATAAATTTATTCAGGTTGCAAAATTACAGTTTTTCTACAGGATGAATTTATATCATTGATAGTAATTTTGACTTTTCATGGCCGGAAAATTTCCCAAACTAATTATCAAAGTAATCATGTTGGAATTTTCTGTTTTAATTTAATTCTCTTTAAGATTACAAGCAAAGAAAGATCATATATTAATCATTGGTCCTGACATCAGCATGTCCTTGTGGTGTAGTAAATTACTTAGTGTGGCTTTTCTACCCATGTTGTTGTTGTTGTTGTTATGTGCCGTCGATAAGTCTTTGTAAACTCCAACGTGGGATTTTCTGTGAGCAACTGAGGAGTTCCTGATTGCTGAAGTTGTCCACCTGGAGTATTTGTGTTGGGCGTGGCACAAAACAATGTTCTGGGAGGTGCCCACTCTCTCTCTGATGCTATGATTGGCTAGTTTGACCACCCTACCAGGATCAAAAGGAGGCCTCCTAGAGGCAGAACTCTCTCTGACTGCTGGTTGAGGAAGACATGCTGCTGAAAGAGACACGCACCCCGGAAAGAGACATGTGCTGCTGGGAAAGAGGCACAAAAGACACACATCGTTGAGTGAGACACTGAGGGACCAGCACTGCTGGGAAAGAGACTGTTGGCTGAGGCACAGTGGGCTGGGAGAGAGACTGAGCATTCTTCCTGAATTTGAGTTGTAGCCTGGTGCTTCCCTAATAAACCTCATAATCTGTGAGTTCTGTGTGGCCACTGCAGTGAATTATCGAACCCAGAGGAGAAGTGGTGGGTGCTTTGGGAGGAACGGTTGGTGAAAGGGCTGGAGGGAGGCAGCATGTCTGGCCTTGTAGGAATAGGCCTTGGGTTACTGCTGGTAATCTGTCTTCCTCTTGTGGGATTAGAGGAGGTCAGAACATGTGGCCTTCTTGCTGTTTTTGCAGTCCTTAATAAATTTGAACAAATATTTAAAAAGCTGATTTTATTATGCCCGTTTGGGAAATATAAGACTGTCAGTTCAGGTACCTGAATTCTGTAGGTGAATATTTAGAGATAATATTGTGATAAAAGGACAAATTTTTTCTTTTACTTCCACATATATATGTATATGTGCTATACAATAATTTATTCTTTTTAAAGTAATTTTATATGCGTTATTTCATTGAAATTTCAAGTGAAATTAAGTAAGTAATCTATGTATTATACTCATTTATATTCATTATTAATTGCATTTGACATTAATAAAATCTTGAGTAAATTTTAAAGAATATAATATCAATTCCTTCCAAACTAGTTAATAAATTTAATATTATTTGAATCAAATTCCTAAAGTTTTTTTTTTTCCCCCATTTTGGCACTTTGAAAAATTATTTTAAAGTTCATCTGGTAGATTGTATCATTTGAAAATAAATAATAAGCCATAATAAAATTAGAATAATTGTGATAGTGTCATGCTAAGGTAAAAGTAAACATATAAGACAGAGGAGTAGGACACCCAGAAACTTACCCCTGAATTCAGTATATGATGAAGGTACCATTTCCTATCAATGGGGGAAAGACTGGATTATTAAATTAGCACTAGACAGATCCAAGTATTTAGTGTTGTTATTAGCTTCCATAGGAACTCTGGTAGCATAGTGCCTAAGGCACTTGACTGCTAACCAACCAGTTCAAACCCACCAGCCACTCCTCGTAGGAAGATGGGGCAATCTACTTTCATAGTGATACTGCCTCAGAAACGCAAGGAGGGGTCGCTATGAGTCAGGTCTGACTCGATGGCACATAACAACAACAACAACATTAGTTTCCATTGAGTTGGCCCCCAACTCATGATAACCCCATGATCAATGCAAAGAAACACTGGCTGGTCCTGCACCATCCCTATAAATGTGATGCATAAGGTTTTCTTTCTTCCAAGTCCATCTTAGTCTGGAAGCTGTGCTGAAATCTGTTCTGTATCCTAGCAACATTCAAGCCTCCACTGACAGGTGGTGGTGGTTCTTGAGATACATTGGCTCATAATAAAACCTGGGTCTCTCACATTTTAAGAGAATCCTATCACCGAACCACCAACGTCTCCAAGTATTTAGTCGAGCAACTTAATGTAAGGCAAAACATTTTATATTTCAGTGACTTTACTGATGTCTGTTATAAAACTTTTTTTGAGATGAAGAGTTTACAAAAGAAAAACTGTTCTGGGACCTATTGAGGAATTTAATGGAGGATTTTCTGAATTTTATAGCATTTAGTTCTCACTTCTGTTAAATAATAAACTTGTTTTTGGTAGGACAAATGCACATACACGCTGAAGCTTGAGTCATATAAACAGGCTGTCATCTACCTTGTAGCAAACAAAGCACTGGGGAGGGAAGCCTGGGCCTTGACTTAAGATAATGGAACAAGTAGAAATTTGACACATGGAGTTTGAAGCTCATTTTTATTTTGTGGGTGAGGAAATAATTAAGACATTTTTCTTAGTTTTCATTTAATTTATAAAGGATTAACAAAGACTAAAATTATTTTTATATTCTTTAACTTAAATTTACAGTGACTTTTTCTCTGTATCTTTGGAACCTACAGTCCTTTTAACTGTGCTTTCCCTATAAACTTTGTTCTTTTTCCTCCGAAAGAACCTTCATACCTTTCAAGGTTCCTTTTTGTCTATCTCTGAAGTGCAGAACATAGAGGAGTTTCTTCTGTGAGCTAAGTTGACCTTTCATATGAAATGGTATAGAACCAGCTCATGCTCGAAAAGAAATATCCCCAGATCATTCTGGATTGATTTACTTTCATTTTAATTGCATTGGTCTAAATTTTTAGTAAATTCAAATTTCTCCTTCCCAGAAAGTTTTAAGACTGAGCCTATTGCCTGCATAATGCATTATTTTTATAAATAAATGAGAGAAAATTTATGAAGCTTAACTAATTCTTACTAATTTTATCCTCAGATAGAATACCATTTTTCCACATAAGAAGAGTTAAAGAATAAAGTAATTATAACCATGTTATCTTCAGTGTACAAGAAGACAGTTTTTAAATTTAAAAAAAAGTTTCTTGCCTTTTCTTGTTTTAATAATTTGTACAAGATTGTCTTTTAAAACATACTGTGCAGTGATTAAACACAACTTGATGTTTATATTTGTCTTCACTGAGATAGTATTGACAATGGCATCTGTCAGACTTAATTAATATGTTTTTTATGTTGATTCCTGCTTGAGTCATATTAGAAGTATGTTCATAGTTATCACAAGAGTCTTGAAATAAAATAATGGTTTGAAACTGTTGCCACAGGACTTACAACTGTTACTTAAAATAAAATATGAGAGAAATTCTTTCTAAAGTCCTTATCATTTGAGGATGAACTTTCTAACTTCAGATCTAAAAATGTAGCTAACTTTTTAAAAAGTTACTATTTTCTAACACTGGATTAAAAAATTTGGTGTCATGCAGAATCCCTGAAACATTCATGATAGAGAAATAAACACTTGGACACTCTCCAAGGGAATACACCATTGAGAAGAATACTTCTTGGTATTTTTTGGAATTCCTTTTAGAACCTGTGGAATTTTTTTATTATAAGATGTTCCTTGCCAAAGATCAGTTAAAATACAAAGAGTGCTTATAATACTTAGTAGAACTAGTTTGTAAAGAGTTTTCTTGTTTCTTCAGTTGTTAAGGAAGTAAATGTTTTAAATTTGCCTCCTTGATTCTTTCTCATAGCTGTTATTTCACATTTATGCCAATATATGTAACGTTGTCAAGTGAATCACCTTGCTCTGTATTTTTGTAGGAAATTGGTTGAGGTACTGCAACATAATGAGAGTGTTCTATTTATTTCATTTCTTGTTTGCATGAAACATTTTATTTTCTGAAAAAGTTTAAACAAGATTGGGTGTTAATCAGAAGAAGATCAGCAAAATTCAGGAGAACTCTGAAGTTTTGGTAGGGGTAATGGTAGGGGAAAAAGAAAACTTCCCTTCTAGTTAGTGCATCAATACCGTTTAGAAATAATCTCCCTTTGAATGGGCATGAATGGGAAGGTTATTGAGATACTTCTGAATAATATTTAGGCATATTTCTAATTGTTTTAAGCAGATACAATGGCTTTCATAAGATATTACATTCAGCTATTGTTAGAAAGGATGCTTATACTATTTCTTAGAAGTTGAGACATATATTTTAAATGCTTGAAAAATCAAAAGAATATAATGTGATTGTGAAAAGAAATTTTTCATATATTAAGACATTCTGTAATATGCCATTGTTGCCAATAATTAACCCTAGAATTTAGTACTTGATAATAATGTTTTGAAAAATGCATGTTTATTTATTGGCTTAGAACAACTAATTGACATCTAATATACTTTTATACAAAGGCACATGAAAGGAGTTACATATATATAACTATATATATTTATATATATATAACTACATATATTAATATATTTATGTCACTCACTCTGTTTTGTTTGTTTTGTGTTTGACAGGATGGGGAAGTGGATGCTGAAGAGCTACAGAGATGTTTGACACAATCTGGAATTAGTGGAACTTACTCTCGTGAGATCATTTCCCTGCCCCCTCCCCCTGTTAATATTGAAGTAGTAAATTCATTTTCTACCTTTTTGTCCCCATACTTTAAATTTTTATCACAGTTATACATGTTTATAGTTTAAAGAATGATAGGATTCTGCAAAGCTTGTTGTGAAAATAACTGTTTATTTTGCCTTCCCATCTACCCAACATCAGCTACTCAAAGGCAACCTTTGACTTTTCAACTGATTCTTTTGAAATTTTCATTGAGATCTCTAAATTGGATGCTTGTGTTGGTATTGATTTTCAGATTTAATGGTTATCAATTGGTGTGCTCCTATAGAAAATGAAGATTTAACTCTCTCTCAACCCTAATCTCACTCTTATTCCTGTACTCCACACAGGGACACTCCCCATTCTCCTGTCCTTCTGTTGTTGTTGTTAGGTACCATTGAGTTGGGCCCTACTTACAGTGACCCCACCTTGGGTTTCCGAGACAGTATCACTGTGGAAGTAGATTGCCCAACTTTCCTTCCAAGGAGTGGCTGGTGGGTTTGAACTGCCAGCCTTCTGGTTAGCAGTCAAGTGCCTTAGGCACTATGC